GATGAAATTGAAACAAAGAGTTGGAATTAGATCATGGCATTGTGGAAGGCAAGCGGGGGGAAGTTTAAGTTTGATTTTAGACCATGGCATGGTGGAAGGCAAGGGGGAAATTTAAATAAAGAGTTGGAATTTAGATCAGGCATTGTGGAAGGCAAGGGGGGAACTGAAGAGTTCGATTTTAGATTATGCCATTGTGGAAGGCAAGAGTGGAACTATAAATAAAGAGTTAGATTTTAGATCATGGCATTGTGGAAGGCAAGGGAGGGGGAAGTTCATAAAAAGTCAGATTTTAGATCAAAGTTTTAAAAACAAGAGTTAGATTCTAGACCATGGCATTGTGGAAGGCAAGAGGGCGAAGTGTAAATAAAGAGTTGGAATTTAGATCATGGCATTGTGGAAGGCAAGCGGGAGGAAGTTTAAATAAAGAGTTAGATTTTACATCATGGCATTGTGGAAGGCAAGGGGGGGGAAGTTCAAATAAAGAGTTGGAATTTAGATCATGGCATTGTGGAAGGCAAGGGGGGGAAGTTGAAAAAATAAAGAGTTAGAATTTAGATCATGGCATTGTGGAAGGCAAGGAGGGAAGTTTAAATAAAGAGTTAGATTTTAGATCATGGCATTGTGGAAGGCAGGGGGATGAAATTTAAACAGAGTTGGAATTTAGATCATGGCATTGTGGAAGGCAAGCGGGGGGAAGTTTAAGTTAGATTTTAGACCATGGCATGGTGGAAGGCAGGGGGGAAATTTTGAAGAGTTCGATTTTAGATCATGCCATTGTGGAAGGCAAGAGTGGAACTATAAATAAACAGTAGATTTTTAGATCATGGCATTGTGGAAGGCAAGGGAGGGGGAAGTTCATAAAAAGTCAGATTTTAGATTCAAGTTTTAAAAAACAAGAGTTGGATTTTAGACCATGGCATTGTGGAAGGCAAGCGGAGGGAAGTTTAAATAAAGTGTTTGACTTTGGATCATGGCATTGTGGAAGGCAGGGGAGGAAGTGTAAATAAAGAGTTGGAATTTAGATCATGGCATTGTGGAAGGCAAGGGGAGAAGTTTAAATAAAGAGTTCGATTTTAGATCATGGCATTGTGGAAGGCAAGGGGGGGAAATTTTAATAAAGAGTTGGAATTTGGCACTGTGGAAGGCAAGAAGGGGGTGGAAGTTTAAATAAAGAGTTAGATTTTAGATCATGGCATTGTGGAAGGCAAGCGAATTAGATTTTAGATCATGCCTTCGACGAACGTACCTTAAGGCGGCTTCGAAGCCTTCGAAGGTATCTTAAGGGGTCTTCGCCGAAGACTTCGAAGGTATCTTAAGCGGGCTTGGACGAATTCTTCGAAGCCCCCTTAAGGTGCCTTCGAAGCCTTCGAAGCTCCCTTAAGGTGCCTTAAGGTGGCTTCGAGCGTTGAAGCCTTGGCTGAAGCCTTTGAAGGTACCTTAAGGGAGCTTCCGTACAGAGAAAGGCAGAGTACTTCTAAGAAGCACCACGCACTGCAAGCCTCACCATCTCACTTTGACGTACCAGAAGATGACGATGCTAGGAAGATCAACTGAGTGGATTCTGAGCGGTCTCTGAGAGCTAGAACACGGCTATCTGTCTCTTTTTTTCCTTCCAACGCCTCTTGGCCTTCGCCAGGTCGTTTTAACACGTTCAATTGCATATTGCAAGAAAAATGAATTGACTGATTAAAGCATTGACCTAGGCAATTGAAAAGAGCCTCAAAAGTTGAATTGGCATGGACCGATACAGAACGCGGCTGTCTGTCTTACTTTAGTCCTGGTTTCTCTTTCCGTTTACCTTTCCCTCGGTGTCATTGCTCGGATGGAAGATAATGACTCAAGTGAATTGGTATGGCGAGAAAAACAGAACGAAATACAACACAAATCGCCACACGAGAGACATGCAGAAAAAGCAACAAAGCAGCACAGCACTGTGCGGAAACCAGGGCTCCCTCCAGCCAGAAGCTCCGAGATTACACCGAGTTCTTTTTTGTTCGAGCCTGTTGCCTTTCGGCAGGTCCACGGTACTTGAGTTTCACTCGCGGACCAGCGGGGTGCCGCTTGTGGTTCTTGTGTCTGGTTGGTTTTGGTTTTGTTGCGTTTTTGTCTTTTTCTTTGGTTTTTGGTTTTGTTGTTTTCTGTTTTTCTCTAAGAGTCTTCCAACAGCACGGCTTCTCTTGCTTCATCTTTTGCACAAGATGCCAGAATTTACAACTGCTCTAATTCATAGGCAAAATACAGCATGCAAGAGCGTGTTGATCGACCTGGCAAAATTTGAGAGGCGGTGGAGAGAAAAAAACATCTACCTTCGTTTCACGTGGCAGCGGTGGTATAATCTCATATTCACCTTCGTTTTCGTGTGGTAGGCTCGATTTTTGTTATCTGCACACGTTTTGTGAGGTCTAGCGCAGTCAAAAATGTGGTTTCGGATCATCTCTCTGCTGTGAAGTTCGATTTTGTTCTTTGTGGAAACAGCTCTGGCACGCTCCGGCATGTTTCATTTTCTGCTTTGCTTCGTTTTTTTTGCTAGCTTGTTTGCTTATGTCTGTTCTGGCATTTTATATGGTCACTACGGCATGTTTTTACCGACATTTCTGCTTCGCTTCGTTTTGTTCTGCTGGCTTGTTTGTGCATGTCCTGTTCCGGCATTTTTTACGGTCGCTCCGGCATGTTGTTTTTATTGACATGTTTTCTGCACGTTTCTCTTCCGGCATGTTTTTTTTTCGCGTGTTTCGGCATGTTTGATTTTGGCATGTTTACGCATGTCATGTTCCGGCATGTTAAATGGTCGATCCGGCATGTTATCTTTTCCGGCATGTTTTCGTTCGCCTCGTTTGTTCTACTGGCCTGTTTACGCATGTCATGTTCCGGCATGTTTTATGGTCGCTCCGGCATGTTTTATTTTCCGACATGTTTCCTGCACGTTTCTCTTCCGGCATGTTTCTTCGTTCCGCGTGTTTCGGAATGTTTGATTTTGGCATGTTTAAGTACTTTCTTCTTTCGGCCTGCTGCGTTCCACACACTTGCGGCCAGGTGCTGGTCTTGCTTGCAAGTGGTCGCTACGACAGGCAGGGCCCAACTGCGCTTGAGCAACGCTGTGCAGCGCAGACATGACAGATTCTATTTCTTGCATGCAGACTTTCATCATGTCGTTCTTGTCGTTCTGTTTTGGTCGCTTTGGCCCAACTAGAAGTTGCAGACAACAGCTCTCGCACGCAACTACAACACAACAACAATAGCTCTAGCACGCAACTACAACACAACTACAACACAATTACAACTAGTCAGTCAAATTAAATTGGTCATTTGCATTCAAAGATGCGGTCATAGGATCATCTATTGTTGCTCTGGTCGTTTTAGCCCAACGTGGAAAGAAACGATCGGAGCAGTGTAATTCTGCTTTGGTGACCTCAGCCCAACGTGGAAAGAGGCGGTCGAAGCAGACATTGCAGAGGATGTGTTGCACCACATGGAGCACAGAAGATCATGGAACACCTCATTCAGCCCATTCCAGGTCCGCAGTGCTGCCGCATGCAGAGCAGATGACATTGCAGCGCTGGCAAAAAAATGTCTGCACTGTCGCGCTTTAATGGGGATAGAATGGGTTTTGAGTTTTGGGTTTTGGGTTTGTTTCCGCGTTGGCTGTTCAGGGTACCATTGTTTTCGATCCAATCTGAACATACACCTTCGACATACTTTCGTAAGCCTTTTACATATACATATATTATCATATTTTTATCATACATTATCATATATTATCATATTTATATATTATATATGTATATTCAGATGATATACGCATACATAACACGATATCCATAACTTCTAGCCTCTTGTCTATGGAGGAGGTGATTTTGATTGTATATGTATAGGTGGGGGGGGTATCCGCAAATGAAATATTTCATTTAGACCCCCCCTCCCCCTCAACAGGGTGATGAAGTAAAACCTCATGTTTAGCATGTAACTGTAGAGATGACATGTCATGTAAGACTGTCATGTCCGCAGCCCCTTTTTGAGCACACGCCGTGCCTCAAGGAAAAAATGTGACGTTTGTGTGTTGCACTATAGGTTTGTAACTAGGACAGAACCCAATACGCCCGACCACTGCTACCTCGGCTTGTGCAAAAGTCCAAAATGCAAACATGCAACTCTTTTTATGCTTGAAACAAAAACGCCAAAAACTTCATGGCATCCTTTCAAGAAACCGCACCAATTCATTCGCATTGAAAAAAAATGCGTGCACCTTGAGGGCAGCACCCTGAAGCAGCACCCTGCAGCGGCACCAGCATGCCCGCTCCAAAGTGCGCACGCCACTTGCAGCGGCACCATGAAGCGGTACCGTGCAGCCGCGCCAACATGCCCGCTTGAAAGCGCACACACCATTCCGACAGCAGCATTATAAAGCAGTAGTCTGCAACGACAAAGCGCACACACCATTCAGACAGCACCCGCCAGCGGCACCAGCATGCCGCCCCAAAGCGCACACGCCACTTTGACAGCAGCACCCTCAAGCAGCACGCCGCAGACATTGGCATTTTGTTGTTTTGTTGGTTTCAATGTGATTTGGTATCATAAGGCAAAAGGGCCCATCATCAATATTTCGAGTCATGGCGTAAAATTTAAACAGTATTTTCTTTCGGTTGGAGTCCGTTGGAAAATAAGCAGGTATGTATTTGCGTTTGCCAGATGAAGGGCGCCAATTTCTTTTAAAATCACGGTGGACAGAACGGTTGACGGTTTCGAATTTGTACACCTTAAAAAATTGCTGGCAGTGTAGACTGTTCAACACGTATTTTTTTCCTTCTCTGTTGCTGTTGTGGTGGAGGTGATTGTGGTTGCTGTGGTGGTGTGTTGTTGGTAGTGTCCTTGCTGTGTCCATTTTCATTTTTTTTTCCAGTGACGTTCACACGGTGGTATTTTTTTGGGCTCCAGCAATTCTGCACCATGTTAAGTATATATAATGATGTGTTAAGACCGCACCCATTTATCAATTTATTTTCACCACGATACCGATCGCCAAGAGGTTGCAGCAATGGATTTCAAACCATTCAATGCGTACATCGTGGATGCTTGCAGGACTACCAGAAGTGAGAAGTGCGTCGTTTTTGGTGTGACCGTTCGCGAACATGGACAATATCTTGCCACGAGCACCCCCTTCAATGTGTTTTGTAGAGACACGTGAAGCAAACCATTGAATTTCACCAAAACAAAACGTTTGTGATTCCAATGCCAGGACTGCAGGCGGGAAAAAAAACGGAAAACTTTCAGGCGCAATTTGGGCGATGGTTTTGTACCCGTAATACTGGAATCTTCTTGAAAACGGAAATGTGTTGGTGATGCTGTGTTTCAAAAATATTTGCACAACGCATCAATGTGCCAACAGTTTTTGCACGAAAATGTTCATTTCGCAACTGGCATTTTTCAATTCTTTCAGGTTACCACCCATGTGAACTGGGCGCTGCTGTGTGCGATGCCCTGGTTGAGCGCCAAAAAATCAATGGTGCCGAGGCGACTTTACGTTGAGGACAACCATTGGTCAACTTGAGACGGAAAACGACCAGTTTCAGGAAAATATTGTTTGAATGATTGATTGATTGATGGATGGATTGATGGATTGATGGATTGATGGATTGATGGACTGATGGATTGATGGATTGATGGATTGATGGACTGATGGATTGATGGACTGATTGATGGATGGATTGCTTGATTGATTGATTGATTGTTTTGATTGGTTCATGTCGTCTCCTTGTTTCCTGTGTCCATTCATACAGGATCATGAATGGTAATCAAGTGCCCTATGCCCGCTGAACAAATTTTGGTGTATATAACTGTGCTTTGTGTGTGGGTGAACTCAGGATTAGTGTGTTTGGGTGCTCACGCAAAAAACATTGCCATGTTCCGGATTCATGCCCTCATGGTTGCTATGCTCCCATTCAAAACGTAGGCCTGTACCATGATTCCCAAATCAAATGATTTGGAACCATTTGCATCAGGGTGAATTTAATGTTGTAGCCGTGAACCATCAATTTCAGCATTTACTTTATTGCCATCGTAACAGTGCGGGGAATTTGGAAATGGCGCATACAACAAAAATTCATTCACCTGTTGTTTGCAATGCCAGGTGGAGGATGTGGTTTTTGGCTGTGTTGGGCAGGTTGGCGCACAAGCTGTGAGCCCCAGACCTGGGTGGCCTGGGATAGTGGCAACAAAGAGCGGCTGTACAAGGCATTGGGTGGTCAAGCATGGTGAAATCAAAAACGCAAGTCTACAAACGTACTTGACGTCATTTTCACTGAAATTGTAGCACTGGAAGTCAAACATTTTGTTCATCACTTTTCGAAGTATAGTTTAATTTTTTTGCATTTTCATCTGAAGGCTGCAATGCTATGACTGCCCAGGCCTCCAATGTGGCCCGCAATGTGGTGCTATCTTGCCGCCTTCTACCGGAGAGTGTGGGAACACTTGGGCTTGGCAGTTCTTGTTGTCGTAGTATTCCTGCTTGAAATCATTTTGGATTTGAACAAATTGAAAGGGGTAAGAAACAAATGCCGTGTGTTTGCCCAAAATTGACTGATGAGACCTGCTTAAAAGATGGCAGCTGTGCTCCAAAGGCCTCTTTCAGAGTGTTTTTGAGGCAAACCGGTTCTGGTTCGGGACCGGAACCCTTTTGAAGTGGACCATGCGCATGCATCAGAATTGCATCAGAATTGTGATCCAAGAAAGAAATAAAAGGCAGCAATGCCACGATGCCACGATGCCACGATGCCACGATGCCACGGTCTCCCAGGTTCCTGGCACCTCGGTGGACCGGCAGTGTGGTTCCTCCCAACAGGCTCAGCTTTCGACTTAGGATGACTTAGGATGACTTGGGACTTAGGACTTGGGAGGACTGATAATGTGACCTGGTTGCGGTTGGGCCGTCGGGGCTATGATTGATAAAGCACATCTTCAAATTGTCTCAAAAACCGACATTTTCATTTCAGGCCGTTCATGCTGCAGCGCAAGCAGTGATGAGTGGCGTCCATGACTGCTGTGCTGTGGCAGCAGATCTTGGTGGGAAGAGAGTGCGTGCCATGTATGGGCTTGCAGATTTGATTTATATATACATGTAAGTAAGATTTGTCATATATATATATTATATCAAGTTATATCTTTCAGCTGTACTAGCGGAGCTTCCCTCTTGGATCCAATCTGTCGGACGCAGTTCTCAGCAAGGCATTGCTGGAGGTGTTGAAGTGATGTTCGGGAACCTAGAAAAATCCTACTCGTGAAATGAGATTCCTCCCTCTACAATGAAGGTCTTGGCAAGGTGGTTGAACAGTGAAACCTGGAGGAACACCTGGCAGCCACGTTTGCAGTTGGAGAAGCGTCGCAATCCGTTTCCAAGTTGAAACGTTGAAGCTTGTGCTGTTTGAAGATTTTGTCTACTTGCCCCCAAGGTCCACAGTTCCCATTGGTGCCAACATCATCGATGGGATGAAGGCAGGTTGCATTGGGGACTGTTTGAGGAGACCAGACGGAATCGGTCACCCACTAGCAGAGTCAGACCACAGTGAGTCAATCACCCCCCACGTCGGAGTCAGTCACCCTCCACAGCCCCACTGAGTGACTGCCCTGCGGCGTGCCTCGTGGGCCATCAAAGTGACATGGTTTCTTTAGGGTTGGTTCAGGGTTGTTTCAAGATGTATTGGGGTCTATTAAGGGTTGGTTTTAGGGTTAGTTTAAGGTTTCTGCAGGGTTTCCTCATAGTTTGTTTTAGGGTCTATTTAGGGTTGACTTAGTGGTGGTTTGGGGTTTATTTAGGCTTGGTTTAGGGTTTTTAAAGGGTTGGTTTAGGGTAATGATGGGTTTCGTCGTTTCGCCAGGATTTGCTTTAAGGTTGGTTTAGGGTTTATTTAGGGTTTATTTAGGCTTGGTTTGTATTTATTTGGGCTTGGTTTAGGGTATATTCAGGCTTGATTTAGGTTTTACTTAGGGATGGCTTAGGGCTAATGTAGGGTTTCGTCAAGGTTTGGTTTAGGGTCTATTTAGGGTTTACTTAGCGTTGGTTTGGGGGTTTAGAGTTTTTACGGGTTGGTTGAGGTTAAGTTAGGGTTTCATCAGGGTTTGTGCGAAGGTTGGATTAGGGTTTATTTCGGCTTGGTTTAGGGTATAGTCAGGCTTGGTTTAGGTTTTATTTGAGGTTAGTTTCGGGTTAATGGTTAATATCGGATTTTGTCAGGTTTGGTTTTGGGGTCTCTTTAGGGTTTACTTAGTGTTGGTTTTGGGTTTTTAGGCTTGGTTTAGGGTTTATTGGTTTAAGGTGAAATTTGGGTTTCGTAAGGTTTTGCTTGAGGGCTGGTTTAGGGTTTCTTTTGGTTTGGTTCAGGGTTGAACTATTGTTTCGTCAGGGTTTGTTTTGGGGTTGGTTTAGGGTTTGTTTTAGCGCTGGTTTAGGGTTTACTAGGGTTGGCTTAGGGTTTATTCAAGGTCGGTTTAGGGTTTAATTAGGGTTTGTTTAGGTTTTGTTTAGGGTATATTTAGGGGTTGGTTTAAGGTATATTTCGGGTTGGTTTAGGGTTTCTTTGGGGTTGGTTTAGGGTTAAATAGGGTTTTGTCAGGATTTGTTTTAAACATGACATGGTGTAGGGTTTATTTAGGTTTGGTTTAGGGTTCATGTAGGGTTTTGTCAGGGTTTGCGTGAGGGTTGGTTTAGGCTTTACTTAGTGTTGCTTTGGGGTTTCGTTAGGGTTGTGTTAAGGTTTCTGTTGTTTACGTTCCGTTTTTCCATGTTCCCATTGGTTCCTTAACTGATAGATAGATAGATAGATAGATAGACAGACAGACAGACAGACAGATAGATAGATAGATAGCTTTCAGGGGTGACTGACTCTTTGTTGTTGACTTTCTGTTTCCCCGGGGTTCCTGGATTCTCCTTCCAGGGTGACCGACTCTTTGTTGTTGACTTTCTGTTTTCCTCCGGGTTCCTTGATCCTCCTGCCGGCTTCCGAGGGGTGACTGACTCTCGGTTGCTGACTCTCTGTCTCCTCTTCCTGGTTTCCCTGCATCCTGTGCTAGTGTTCACCGGTGACTGACTTTGTCCTATGGGGTTCCTGACTCGGACGTTTGGGGCGACTGACTCGGATGATTGACTCTGTCTTTGCCCAGTTTGAGTTCAAAAATCTGGGGACGTGCGCAGGCTGGCCATGGATTTCCTATGACCGAAGCCATGACTGAGAAGTACAAGGACAAGATGAAGGCTCACTGGAGTGTTTTTTTATATGGTTTTATCGCACCAGCTTTTACTGATTCACAGCAAGAACTAGAAGCATTCACGTTTGAAAACTGGTGGTTTGCTTGTTTGAGTGCAGTTGCCAGGTCATTTTGGTTTTCGTGTTTTGGTTTGAGGCTCTTGATTGCAATCATAACAAAACCTGTCAAACTTGTTAGTCCAAGCCGTTCACTGTTGTGAGCTGCAATCTCTTGGCATAGGCTTTCGAGCAATTTGCCATCTCCACTTCTGTGTGAGACCCAGTCACGGTTTGATTTTTGCGTTGGTAGTTTCTTCTGTAGATCCAGTCGCTACCCTTGGGACATGGTTAGATCTGAAAAGATGAACCAATTTCATCCAATTTCAGCATTCCTTCCCTTTTTTCCGTTTTAGTCATGTTGTTCTCCTGTCATTCCACAGCAGATCCACCGGGAATGTGGTTCCTTCGAGGCATTCTCTCAGTTTGGAGGAGCGGAGCTTTTGGCCAAGAAGTACAACCTCAGTCGCGAGGCGACCAACAACTGGGTACGGAGTTCGAGATGGACATTCCTAACTTGGATTTTACCTTTTACATCTTTTACCCGTGCATACGAGCAACTTTCATACTTTCGTCAGCTCACCAAAAGTCAACTGACAGAGCCCGGTTGATGCAATCACAATCAAAGGAACCCGTTTGGTTAATGGCTTCGGGGTCTGTGGGCGACTATACAATGTTCCCAGCATCGAGATGAGATGATAAGACTCACTTCCACGGGTCTCTACCTCGTTCCGGATCGCAACACATCAGGGACTCTCTTGGCGCTAGGATGTTGACCGTTTTGCTGCCATCTCTCAACAAAGAGCAGTGGAGTCCACCAAGGTGAGGGGTTGCTGACAATTTGCTGACAGGGTTGGCTGGTGTCATGTGTAGCATGGCTTGCACAGCTAGCAGCTAGCATGTTTCTAGAGGGGTAAAGACATCTTAGATTGGGAAGAAGGTGGACCAGAGTCAGAGCTCTTTCAATTCCAGTCAGTTTGACTTGTCGTCTCTGAGTAGATTGCACCGCATGATTCCACAGATATGATATTCTCAACTTGGAGATCTAGTACAGATTCATTTGCGTCAGCAGAGGCAGGGAAGTTCAAGGATGAGATTGTGCCATTGCCAGTGAAGCGAGGGGGAGCCCAGAAAGTATGATTCCTGCTGTGATGGATCATGAATTTAATGGGGAATGCTCGGTCTCACTCAGAATTGTGGCGAGGAGTCCGTATTTCTCATTGGGTTTGAGGCAAACTACTGTTTACTAAGGCAAGGAGGGTGCCTCAGAGGACATTCACTCGGAGGAGTAGCCGTGCCAGATTTGCTGAATGAATTTTAAGAATCACTTGACAAGGATAGCCATGATACCAAAAATAAATCTTGACTTTGTCTCTTGGTGTTTCCTTTGGACTCCGCAAGGACGAGGGAATCCGTGCAAACGTCACTGTTGAAAGCCTGGGCAAGCTGAAGGCAATCCGTGGTACAGGGCCGGTTTCCAACTTGCCAAAGATGTTTCTTGATGTTTCATGTGATCCGCGGATCCAATCAGATCCAATCATTATCAAGATCCTACACATCGATACACATCGTACATAATTTTCACAGAGGATTCTGCAGGGTGCTTCGCAACATTGTGAACTGCATCAAAGTCGGATGAACAGTTTTTGCTTAGTGTTCATTCTCCACAGCTTCTGAAGCTAAGTTTGCTACACTTTAATCATCTTTAATCCCTACTCTAATACCCTTAAAATGGATGACATCATGGCCATTTTGGCCATTTTGGGCCATTTTGGCAATTTTGGGCCATTTTGGGCCATTTTCGGCCATTTCCATTTCCATCAATTTTCCTTCGGAGTCTTCCTCCAGGCCATGTTCCCCAATGGAGTTCTCACTCCGGCCAGCTCGTCGCAAATCTGTCGGGAGCCAAGCTGTGACCCCGAAACATTTGGTGTCGTGGCAAGGGTAAGGCCAACCCAAAACGTCTTAACTTGGAGCTCAAAATTTTGCTTTACACACCCTGTATCCTTGAAAAAGGTTTCAACTTCATGAGGACTTTCTTCTTTCTTAGTAAAGCACGCTTGGCAACCTCTGCTTTTTCAAACGAAGCTGTCGTTTGCTCCTTGCGGAGCTCTGCTGGTTTGCCAAGGCGATGGAGCTTCAGCGGTGCTGATTTGCAACGAGCCCGGGCCTTGCTGGTGGACCCCAAACCAAAAAGGTCCATTAAAGATCCAAAAAGGCTGATAAGCCGATAAGCTTTCAAGTTTTGCACCAAAGCCAAGCAAGCAGTGCAACTGCGCAAATAATTTGTTTATATTCACCACTAGTCACTGTCCTGCGCTGCTCCAAATTGTATTGAGCGTCTCCGAAGGGTACTGTAATATACTGTAATCATGTGCAGAAAGGATCATGAAGTATCGTAAAGCTACCTTTGAACTGACGGTGGATGGCTTCAACTTGGAGAGGCTGGAGGCCCATATCATATTCACCGACCAGTAGATTTTTTGGACCTGCGTCGTGCCATTTTTTTATCTCAGATACATTGCTACAGATAGCCATGGAATCGCGAAAGTACCTGAATCCTGCTATGAGGCGCGGTTTGCAGAAGCTGGGCCTCAAGCCAATGGCCAGGAGCAACTGTGAATGTAAGTTCCCTAAACGCGAGCAAAAAACATTTCTGTTTTTTTTGCCATTCCGGTGTCATCCTTTAATTGATACTTGACAGTGAATGGATGGTTTTTATTTTTTTTAGTTTTCTTCAATTATTTTGATCTCTCATACTGTGATTTCACAAGCAGGATTCATTCTTTGGCCCTTGTCCTGGCCTCAGTGCATCAGTGCGACGATAATGTTCTCAACACATTGTCCCCGACAAGTGTTTCACACAGCGATGATGGCCTTCCTCTATAAATAAAGTATGGTAGCTTATTGTCTTGTGCTGACTCAGTTTGACCAATGCCAGGTCAACATGTCGTTTCAGGAATGTGGAGGACAAAGGTCAGAAAATGTCAAATTCTGCCCAGAGCAGTGTGTGTAAGGCTGCTACTGACCCCGTTGTAATGCTGGAAGGGTCTGGTGCTTAGGAGAGCGGCTTGCAATCTGAACATATTTGAACCCCTTGTTCATTCACAGCCGACCAGCGCGGAACTTCGCAGCTCAAACCCTTTGAATAAAGCGGGTCTTCTCCCACAGCATCACTATGGCCAACATGCTCACTCTGCTCAGCACTGCTCAGCTGAGTTTGATGCCGAGTTGACCAACTTCCAACGACCATTTTGTGTGACTGCGCAACTGTCCTGAGGCCCATCCCTGCAACGCGGACCGCTTTGGAGAAGGTCCATTTGTTGTGAGTACCTGCAATGGTGCAACAGTGCAAGTAGAGTTTACGAGGCCAAAAGAAGTGTCTGGACTCTTCGCGTTCGATGTGGGAAAGAGTTTTTGAATGCTGGCTTTTGTACTTTTGAAAGTGGCGACACACGACTTTCAAAAGCTTTTGTATCTATATAGAACTTGTTATTACACCTTTTACAGGCTCCACCTAGAAATCTCTGCCCAATGCCGTGGTCAAGAGGGAGGTGTTTGATCTCTCTGAAGCAGGTGAAGATGAAGATCGAGGACATTGACCTCTACGAGGTGGCAACATGTGGCAACACTGGTCGGGCCATGTATTGAATCGATTTCTCTGTCACTCGGGCCTCTCGGCCAGGTGAATGAAGCGTTTGCCTCCGTGCCCTTGGCTTGGATGAAGGCGCTGCATCTGGGTTGTTCTCAGAAGACATATCCGATTATCCAAGCTCCTGTAGGTAGGGAAGATGGGAGAAAATGCATCTATTGACAACAAAGCAAAGGGGCTTTTCCACCAGGTTCTAATCAGGATCCATCAGGGGGGCCTCCAAAAACGATTCAATATTTCATGGCATGCATCGTGAGAAGCACAGCGCTGGAAAACGAGGTTAGCACTGGAAGCACTCCTCTTCAAAGACTACATACAACATTCGAAACATGTGTATACAAGAAAACATTATACTTTAATACTATTTCAGAGATTTTTGGAGGGTCTCTTTCAATATTATTCAATATTCTCTTCCACCTATCGATGTTTGCCATCAGGATTCGCAAGGTTTCATAGGAAATCTGTTTGTGGCACATCGCACAAGATCCCAGATTTTGTCATGACCACATTGTCCACAGGTAGTATCCACATGACGGACTTGGCAGAAAATTCAATCTCATATCACTGACTCTGTCGGCAAATATGTTCGCACTGAGTTGTTTTGCATAACACAAGACCTGGCGTTTCGAAGGCCTTGGGAGCAGATTTTGAGAAATTGAATGCCGCTTGGACGGGGCAAGCAGTTTTTTGGTATCCGAATTTGGAAGACAACGCCACGAAGGCATTTTTGTTTCCCGGTGGTGTTTGCATTAAAAGACATTTCACATTCAAGACTCATGGCGGCCAACTGCCAAGGTGAACGGTGGTGCCATGGCACTTGGCCACCCGCTGGGAGGTAGGGCGACCTGACGTGGCTGAAAGACAGCTGAAAGATTGATAATGGCCCGTGGGCTATCGTGGGCTTACATATTCGCGATGGAATTGCCTGGTTAATGCTGAACTTGTATACACAATTCAAAATCGCTGCATGTGCACTGCATGTCTAACGTAACACATGTGCCATGGGGCAATGTGTCACTTATGTCTGTTGACGTTGTAATACTCCCCAATGACTGCAACGGCAGGAAAGGAACTGCAGGGACAGTAGCAAGATTTGAGAGGAATCGCGAGGGAACTCACCGTAGCACACGATCTCTGAGTAGGAAAATCTGAGGAGAACAAATTGATTTTCAGATGCAGAACCCCAGCGGTGCCAATCAGGCACTGGCACCAAGCTTCTGGCCACACTTGTGCATGAGCTTAAGCGTCAGAAGGCCAGGATATGTTGGCTATGTGGGGTGGTTTGCAGAAACTATTCTGGTCGCTTCGCGCCGACAACCGCCCGTACCGGAGTATTGGCTCCAATAAAACCATGTTGGGCCTTTGTAGGGCGCATGTTGGGAGGCTTTGTGTTGGGCCGTGTCGGGCACATGTTCAGCCATGATGGGCCGATGTTGGGCCTATGTTGAGACATGTTGGGCGATTTTGGGCCCATGTTGGTCCTATGTCGGGCCCATGTTGAGGCATGCCCATGTTGGGCCCATGTTGAGCCTATGTTGACCCATGTTGGGCCTATGTTGGGCCCATTTTGGGCAATGTTGAGCCCAATTTCGGTAACTTAGCTGATTTTTCCCTTAAAAAAAAGTGGAAAAAACACAGGATTCTAGGAAAAAAAGCCACCCCCCCAAGCTAAAGCTTAATAGCTATTGCAATTGCTTACGGATCACGCATGCCTAGCAAAAACGCCTCGGCACCTTCGGTGCGGGCGGATTTCAATGCACCCTCATGCCATTGCGCGTGGTGTTGGATGTCTGAAACGGTACGCTGAATGGATCTTGAAACAGTGAAATGAGCCAAAGCAAGTCTAGAAGACTTCGACGAATCTCTTTGAAACTTGGTTGTGCCCTTTTGTTGGCTCCCACAATCCCGGAGACGATTGTCTTCAGCTTTTGGGAACTGGACATTTAAAGGCACTGGTCACTGTTCCAAATTGGGGACTCCCAAATATAGAGATATATAGAGATGCTGTTTGCGGATTTTGGAGCGCCCGCAAGTTTAGACACGCACACACACACAGTCTTTATGGCTGGCTCATGAAGTTGGTCTTTGGACACACTGTACTTACCGATATGCAAGAAGGGTGGCGCATGAAGCTGTGTTGGCTCCTCCTCAAGCTGTCGTGTGCCAGAAGCGCTATGGGGTGCTGGCGATTTGCGAGGGCGGTGGCACTTCCAACGCCACCATTGCATCTTGCCACAAAGAATCAGCAACTGCTGTGATGTTTGAAAAAATGCAATCAACTTGATTTACAAAGAAACACTGAGATTCATTGTTCAGATCAGATTCATTGTTCTTCCGAGATTTTCGGACAACACCTCGCAGAATCCAACAGTCCACCCTGGCTTCCAGCGTTGCAGGTAGAGATGATGCCAAGTGCAAAGCTTTGAGACTGGAGGCGCGTGGTCAGGAGACGTAGGCCATTTCTGTGGCCATTTCTGCTGGGATATGCGGCTACAGGTTTGGCTGATAGATTTGGTGTTGTAGTCCAGGTGTTCGTGTAACACCCGGCTCTGCCATGCCTGCAGGTGCTTCTGGTCTACCCTGAGCAGATGCGTTCTGCGTATTTTTGAGGGCCTGAACCAACTCCCTGTGGACTGGCACGAGAATGCAAATGCACTCGGAGTCATAGAAACTGTGTGGATCTTGTGCCTGGAGCCATTGACGAAGTAGATTTCACAACGAGAACTGGATGACGACCTTAACGTAGGGAGTGGAATGAGGCTAACGTTTGGCAGCCGGTGGCACAGAGGTGCCGATTGCCTGCTTGGGGAAGGTGCCGCTGTGCTGGTTTCAAAGGCGTTTGGCCAAGCGCGGATGGTATAGCCAGTCTAGCCTAGCCATGCTCATCAAGCCAAAGGTTGAAAGCTGATTTTTTTTTTGACAGTCCAGGTATATTCATGGTGCATGCTCGGTGGATTTGATTGGTAGCAATTCAAAGGTTCTTCCTCGGTGGTTGTGTAGATATTCCATCTTGAGTGAGCTTCAGCATGCCGTTCCCATCAGTCTAATGTTCAGGGGTTTCTTGGAAACAACTGTACCTAGCTGCCTTCACTTGTTGTACTTCTTCGAAATCATATAGTGAAAGCTCCTGACCACCTTTTCTAAGCGAGCTTGAACCAGCGAGACCATACCATCCGTGTGATCAAAACCTCTTTGGCGTGTAGGTGCGCGAAAGAAAAATTGGGTTGTGCTGCCGCTGGTTCGTGCTTGACATGTCGATAGGAATGCCTTTTGTGTGACACTGCAGAATGCATCCCTTTGTGGACATGCTACAAAGGTGATTCAGACGTGACATGATCAATCCTTTGTTTGAATCACAGTAGATGGCATGGTCATGCTTCACCTTACGCATGCTTGTTGTCGGTTGTCCCATGGTATTTGTAAGCATGTTTCGTGTTGTGCACCTTCATTTCATTCGACTTTGTGTTGAAGCTGTTGAGGCTTTATTCAAAGTCGGGTGGCATAATATACATTGCATTTCTCAATGTGCAATATCAAATCGCAAAGGTTTCGTGCATCTGCATATGGCATATGTTCACCCTGTTGCGCACGCACAGGAATACCATGGTTCCATTTGAAAAACGCGCGGGACATGGCAGCCGCCATCCGTAGTTGCTTAATCCAATGGTTGGATGCAAGCACTGCGGTACATGAACTTGATAATTTCATCAGGCCGGTTGCTTAGAAACCTTGAAAACATGCCCTTTGCAGGGATGGATTTTGCACGTTTTACCATTTTTACCAATACATTTTTTGGATTGGTTGTCCTGTCCATTGTGCCTTTGCAGGCAACATGCTGCCACGTTCGATGACTCTGAAGAGCAACTTGGCATCTTTCAACTCTGCACGACTCGTCGATTTGAGGCCTTTGTTTTCGGACTTTTGTCATCATCGACAATCGCTTGGGATCACAGCATATTTTCGTTGACTACCGAGATGCGATTCAAAACTGCAAGTCAACATTTTTGTAAACATATGCCGTGTGTGTTGACTTGCATTCCTTCCCTACAAACAAGTCAACCAACGCTTTCAATTTGTTTTCCAACTTTATTTTGCAATGATATGAAATGCAAGGAGATGTCATGAAGCTATGCCTTAGTTAAAAAAGGCAACCTTGGGAGAATTCCACAAATATTTTGCATCCAGGGCGTGTTCGTTTTGTGTTTCTTGCCACGTTCTTGAACCGCCCAAGTGTTCGAGGTAGTTTCGATTGAACCCTGATGTTTTCTCTTGGTTTTCTTGTAACTGTAAACAATGGTTGCGTGATCAGCTGCACGAAAATAGAGCATTCTTTTCGGCTTGGATGAGCAGTTGCACTATCTCATGCATCCCCAATTTGTGTCTAAGAGCAGACCTTCTTCTGACCATTGTATGATCCGTCAACTGTGCTTCAATGTCTGCCCCCCCATAGATAGCCTTCCTTTCCCGTTGCAAAGTGACTCCTGAGGCAGAGACATCTTTGTTTCGAGGTTTTTCAGCGTTATGAAGGTCTCGTTGATCGACTTCTCAACGAATTTTTGGAGGCTGTGGCGCAGCAGATCTTGGCATTTGCCCAGTCTAGAAAGTTTGATCTTTTCATTTGAACAAAATCAACTTGCAACTTTGCTTCAAGACATTGGATTCTGCATGATTTTTCTGTTAATCCTCCAGGAGCATCGTCGGGACGTTCATTTGGCTGGCATAGACGGTGGCACCTTACTGCATTTAACTTCCAGAAATGGTTTGCCCATTCCCGTCCAAAACCGTTATGTATATACGTATGTATATAAAGAATTCCACAATGAACACATATCAACAATATGTTTCTTTTTTTGGCAGCAATCGTGTTCTCTAACTCATAATGTTCTTCCCAGCATTACTGTATTGCTACTGCTGATTCTCGTTCTTCTTGCTGTTTCTTGTGTTTCTCCTTTTACTTTTTCATTTTTTCCCCAGATACCTGGAAGCTATATGGGGTTCTTACTTCTCAAAGGTCAGGTCTTCCGTGGCGAACTTTGTGGCGAAGTCTGGCAAAGGTGCTGCGCAGGCTGCTGTGCAGGCTGCTGTCCAGAGTGCGGTTATGTGCGGTTGCTGTGCAGGCTGTCCAGAGTGCGGTCCTCCTGTGGGGTGGCAAGGTCTCAGGCTGCTGTCCAGAGTGTGGTGGCGAGGTCTGGCAAAGGTGCTGTGCAGCGTGCTGTGCCGGCTGCTGTGGCTGCTGTGAGGCGTTGTTTGTGTGGCGAAGTTTGGCAAGGGTGCTGTGCAGGGTGCTGTGCAGGCTGCTGTCCAAAGTGCAGTGGCGAGGGTGCTGCGCAGGCAGTGCGGTGCCGAAGTCTGGCAAAGGTGCTGTGCAGGGTGCTGCGCAGGCTGCTGTCCACAGTGCGAGGCCGTTGCATTGTAAAGGATTTTGTTGGGCACGAAACTCGATTGTGCACTGTGAGTTTCTTGAAGGTTCAACGTTTAAGCGCGATAGGGATGAAATCAGTTCCGGCCGGAAATCGATTTGTTCATGGTTTGGCCTGATGTTTATTTGTTTTGGAAACAATATTTTGGCGGCTCTGTGGACAGCTGTCACAACATAGAGATCAAAAGCGATAGCTGCTGTTGGCGACACCCTCGCAAATCGTTTCATTTTCATCCATATCATAGAATTGTGCACACAGGTTCTGATACCGGACCAATAATAAGCAAAACAAAGAATCTGCTTTCATAAAATGTATGCATATCCGTTCAATATCTGCCTTGTTTTGCGCGAACACATTTGGATCGCAGTTTCTGCGTATAAAACCCATGTCAAGTTGTGACACGTAGCTTCCAACCCTGGAAATAAGCTTCGGTGGTATCCCCAACAGCCGTGAATTAAATGGCCGCAAATCCTGTTGAACCTGACCTGGCTCTGCGCCTTCTCCGAAACCTTCTCCGGAACCCTGTTGAACCTGACCTGGCTCTGCGCCAAAGCCTCCCTGTCCGGAACCCTGTTGAACCTGACCTGGCTCTGCACCAAAGCCTCCCAGACCTTCTCCGGAACCTTCTCCGGAACCCTTTTGAACCTACCTGGCTCTGCATCAAAGCCCCCCGCAACCTTCTCCGGAATCTTCTCCGGAACCTCGTTGAACTTGACCCGGCGCCTGCACCAGTGCACACCGGAGCTATTCTGGGCTGAAGACCCCATTAGCTTACGCTGGTGGGGAAAAGTAATTCTTGCAAGTAATCACTTTCTGGAATTCGGAGCCCGTGGTTCCAAGCTTAGAAACAACGGCAGGTCCTGGAACTCGGAACCCATAGTTCCAAGCCTGGGGAGCATTCATTCCAATCTTTGGGAACCCGCAGTTCCTCGAACCGGAAACACACGGTTCCAAGATTGGGAAGCACTGGTTCCAACGTTTGAAAACCGGTAGTTCCTAAAACTTGGAACCCGTGGTTCCAAGATTCGGACACATTGGTTCAAATCTTTGGGAACCAGAGTTCCTCCAACCGGGACCCCGTGGTTCAGAAAATTGTGGAAACATTGGTTCCAACCTTTGGGAGCCGCTAGTTCCTAGAACTGGGAACATGTGCCCCCAAGATTGGGAAGTATTGGTTCCAACGTTTGGAAACCAGCAGTTCCTCGAACTGCGAGCCCGCGGGAAGCATTGGTCCAACGTTTGGAATCATCAGTTCCTCGAACTCGGAACCCGAGGTTCTACGATTGGGAAGCATGGGTTCCAACATTTGGGAACCATCAGTTCCTCGAGGGAGCTCATGGCCAAGATTGGGAAACGTTGGTTCCAACGTTTGGGAACCGCTAGCTCCTAGAACTGGGGACCCCCAGTTCAATGATTGGGAAGCATCGGTTCCAAGGCTTGGGAACCAGCACTTCCTCGAACTGGGAACCCGTGGTTCCAAGATTGGGAGACATTGGTTACAACGTTGGGGAACCGCTACTCCTACAACTGGGAACCCGTGGTTCAAGATCGGGAAGAATTGGTTCCAACGTTCGGGAACCGCTAGTTCCTAGAACTAGGAACCAGTTGTTCCAAGATTGGGACGCATTGGCTAACGCTTTGGAACCAGCAGTTCTGCTATTGCCGCAACCAATATTTGTGAAATCTTTTCTATCTGGGGTCTATGCCGGTGTAATTCATTTCTTCAACTTTATCCATTTGTCCTTTTGTTTCCATGTTGATATATGCATTTTTTAAAATTTATATATTTTCTTTCTTTATTCCAACTCTTCTTTCCTTTGTTCTCATGTCTCATTCTTGTCATTGTTCTCGCTCTTGCTGCTGAGATTGTCCTCGTTTTTTCTGCTGCTGCTGCTGGTGGTGATGGTGGTGGTGCTGGTGCCGGTGGTGGTGGTGATATTGGCGGTCTTGGTTTTGGTTTTGGTCTCGGTGTTGTGCTGTTATTGTTGTTGCCGTTGCCACTGTTGGTCGCAAACCAACATCAGTGTTGGGTGCCGCTTCAGGTGCTGCTTCTGTACGGAGACTCTTGGCTGTGTGCCAGGAGGAAGGCGCGTGCGCTGCTGGCAGCCCGGAACAGCGCATCTTGGACTCGTCGCTGCTCAGGATTACCACATATCAGGCCCTGTAGGGTGTTGGTTTGGGTGAGACAGGCTGTATGTGAGACAGGCTGCATATGCGGAGCAAATTGTTGCTTGTGTGTGCAAACTAATGGAAAGATGATGGTCATCCCCGCGTGAATAGGATTATATCATAAACTATCTGTACATACTCTTTGTAAGTAATACCTAACGATTGGGGGATGACCATGGATCATGGCACATACTACCTGCTGTGGAATTTGTATCTTTGACCGTGAATGCTTGGCCTCTTCAAGGTGCCAATAGAATTGGCTCACAGAATGGGCTCACATTTTGGCAAACTCCACCCAAAGAAAAGAATTTCCTGACTTGAAACAATTGCAACATAGTGCAGCAGTCGACCTTAGAAAAATGATTGCTTGGCACCGAGTGCAATGTATGCAAGGGTATGCGTATACTTTTCTGCTTTGCGGCAGGACTATGTTCGGATTTCCCTTGACTTCAAACGTGCTGCTGAAGACCAGGCAGCACAGATGTTGCAGCGCCTAGCCGTGCAGGTGGCAGGAGGCAGCTTGGCGATGTGAGCCTCTACTGGATAGTTATCAGGGAAAATGATGAAACTTCAAGTAACCAAGGTGATCACGGCTCCATAAGATTCACCAGTTTCTGATTTGTACAGAGCTGGGCGTCTTGTCGATGGCAACGTTTTGGCAGGAACACCCCCACAGCCGCTAAAGTGTATACGTCAAGGTGAATTCATGAATTCAGGTCAGAATTCACAGCTTGGAAAAGAGCAAGATTCAGATCTATCATGCAGCAATTCAAAATCCGAAATAGGTGACTCGGTACTGATGCTTAGAAGGTATTCCGTCCAGTTCTTGCAATCTAATTACACTATGGAATTGATCTGTTGGTATCTATGAAATTTATGGTGTGACTGCTGGATCAGTCATTCGATGTGTGGAACCTCTACGTCGAATGAAATGGTGATCCACAGGAGTGGCAAAGACACTTCCACATGCGCGGCTGGAATCGCAAGGGTGTCTCGGACGTAAACAAGTTCCGTGCAGACCCCGCTGTCGTTGGAAAGTGCAGTCCTATTTGACAAGAACACATATATTCTGTCGCCCACACATGAAGCAAATCCTTAGGGTTTGACATTTTTGTAAAGGTCGTATTTATGTACGTAATAAGTACGTAACGTATATAATACAGACATGTATATCATATGTGTTGTACCTATATGTATATATATATATATATATATGTGTATATATATATGTATATATATATACATATATACATATATATAATCATATCTATCTATCTATCTACCTATCTATCTATCTATCTACCTACCTAGCTATCTATCTACCTACCTACCTACATACATACATACATACATACATACATACATACATATATACATCCATGCATACATACATACATACATACATACATACATACATACATACATACATCCATCCATCCATCCATCCATCCATCCATACATACATACATACATATATACATACATACATACAAATAACATATGTATGCGAGACAGATTTTACCATGTCAACCTGTCAAACGCTTTGTGCTTTGCTGTTGTTCAGACCTTCTCTTGCAGCTGGCCATAGCTCCCGGATTGAGGCCTTCCGAGCCTTGCGACTTCCTGCCACCCAAACGCCAGGTCCGGGTGTGGCTCTGTGCCTACATCCTATTAGAAGAGAGACCAGCTATGATCTAAATGCTTGCAAGACACATACATGCACGCTGTATATACTTTATATACGTTATGAGTTGTATGGATTACATGCACTGTACACGCATTATATACATTATAAATATATGTTATATAACTGTTATAGTATAAATGTGGGGTGCAAAAACCGTTCATCGCATTGCAGGGAATCTTCTTGCACTCTAGCGGCCAGGTCGTGGCTTGCGACTCACGTGAGCAAGCTCAGGCTTAAAAAGATGCAAAGCTTCGGACAGTGGGGAGGTGTTGCGTTCGGACTTGTGATGTCGCCGGCTGAACTTCGCAGCTGCAAGGTTGAGACTTTGCAGAGTTGGATGAATATTCTTCCGCAGTATTCGTTTTCAATCTTCAAACCTGCTTTTTCTATGTGCAAGAGGGGTTGCGAGTGTGCAATTGGAAAAAGTAGCTAGCTAGATTCTAGATAATGAAACATATTTTGCTTTTAAGATCAGAATCTTTTCATTTTCTTGGTTTCATCATGACACACAGTTATATTTGGATCACTAGCAGGCAGACAGTGAGTCCACAATTTGTGTGATTTCTCTTGATTGATTCCGTTTTGAGAGTGTCAAGACCATGTGGCATACCATGAACTTAGCTGAACAGACTGACTTGGATTAAGACTGGAAAGGGATGGCGTGGCCTACAATATGGGAAATCCAGGAGAAGTTGTGTGATGTACGGGCTCAATGTTTACTGGAATTCTAAGTCTAAATGAGAAGTCTCAAAAATCTACTTGCAGATTGTTTCTTGTTGAATGTTTTACATGGGATTGGTTTTTGACAGGGGCTGTCGGTCAGGAAATCGGTATAGGCAGGCTCCTAGTTGCCTGTAAGGGTAGATGGAGAGCTAGCAAGGTGCCGTTTTTCAGACTACCTTTTGCCGGCATCAGGAGTACATACCAGAATCTGAGCATGCATTTTCTACTTGTTACGAGCTTTGCTAGTTATTTGGTCTTAGTTTCAATTACTTGGCGAATTTGCTTCCCAGGAGCAGGCCCAGTCCAGTTCAGCCTCGTCAATGGATCTCCAAGTAGGCAGATGGCAGTTTGTAAGCTTCTTAACGGTCTGGGAACTAAACAGCCATTTGGACAAAACAATGAAGCATTGTGACTCTCCAATAGTTTTACTTTCTGGCCATGAAATTGCTTGCCTTCAAACATTTGGCAGTGTTCCTGTGTTTCTGTTTCTTGCTTCTTCCGATTGATTGCTGTGTTGCTCCAATCACTTTACGGTACCGCTCTCTGGAACGGTAGGCACACAGGGCCAAAAGAACCACACCTGGGAGGTGCGCTCGAGCCGAGAAAAGCAGCAGTGCGGAAAAGCTCAGTGTGCCGTTGAAATTTCCAAAAGATACTGCAGTCCTGTTGAAAAGCTAAAAGCACAGCAAGCGGTTTGGGGCAAGTTTGACTGGGAGGCCACTGTGTGTCTTGGGATGCCACGCAACAGCTAGGATGGTCAGGAAACTCTGGTGACTCTATCAGCGATACAGCAATTGCCCATGTTCAGATGCCATATCTTCTAAGAAAAGCACCTCAGTGGAAAAAGTGAATGAGCAAATCAATCCTGAGGTTATGTTTGTATGATTTTCAGAAACTCATACAACCCGATACAACCCCTTTTTGGTCTTGTGATGTTGTAGGAACCAGCCCCCAAATCGCCTTGCCGAACTTGCCCACCTTCCATCCCTTGACAGGCATTGAGGGACAAGAATATTGGCGCGATGCCATCGCAAAGGACCGGGCACTGCCAGCTGCTTTGAGGTGGCCTCAGGTGGCCTAGAAGCACAGATGGATTGTTTTTTGGTCACTGCACACAAAGTGATTGCTGCTTGATCTAAGATATTTATAGGTTACGTTAGATACAGATTGTTTTTGATGTAAAAGTCATGCATGTAAATCTTCAATCTCGGAGACAAAAGCATCCTATTGGATCTTCCATGGAAAGCAGTGACGTATTCTAGTCATCGAAGCTGGGATAATGATGAAGCTAAGATCAAAGATGGGAGAAGATGGAAAGGATGGGGGCACTCGGGGAAGAGCAAGGGCACGCGGGAGGGTGGTGTACCAGTGGTGTCATGCAGTGGTTGCTATGGTTGTTCCTGGGTTTGGGGCTCTTGCTGTTGCTGGGGACACGGCTGAAAAATATTGCTCGTGGGATCAAGAACAAGTTATTATTAGTAATAAATTATTAGGATCAAATTACATGTCACATATATCATATCATATGTCAACCTGTATCATTTGCACCCATGGACATGGAATCCAGCAGGTCACTTCACATCCCAACATGGATCTATGGCCCAAAGGTGACTCGGGCCCTTGAGCTTGTGGCGCCAAAACCTGTGCCATGCTTTGTGGCTGCAGCGTCGCTTTGCGTTGCTGTTTCTTAAGACTGGCAGCAGAGCGGTGTCTCTTGCTACTTTCCGCAATTCGCTGTGCTAACCCTTGGCTCCCTTTGGTGTGCTTTTGGGCTATGGCGCTGGATACCCTGAGGTATGGAAACTTCAAGCCCACTGACGTGGCCAGTGATGCGAAAGCCTTGCCTGGCTATGGTGGTGAAGTTCAAGGATGGGCTGACTACAAGTTTGCCGTCCAAGCCATTGAGGCGAAAGAGTCCCAGATCTCGGATAGTGAGCGGAAGAAACTTGGTCCCCTTGGCCTTCGACTGACTGAGCGATTGGCCGGATCTGCGCTACAGGTAGCAAAGAAAGTTGGAGTGACAAAACTGGCCGAGCCGACAAGACGCTGATGGAAGCACTGGAAAAGCAACTTTTGCCTTTGAAACGGCAAGCTGCTTTAGGGCTCTACAACGCCGGGATGAAAGATGGACTTCTTTCCGGCAACAAGGAGAACCAGTGTCGTGAAGCCTGGTGGATTCAGCTGTGTGAGATGGATGAGGGCATTCAGTGCTCTGATGGGGGACTGTTTGCCAAAATGACTTGAGTGATAGGGATAAGTTGGTAATAGCCCTGAGGGATCAATTTGAAAAAATCATGAGGAACCCGTGGTAAGGGTAAGGGTAAGTATGAGTACAAACCCTGGCATCAGCGATCGAGCTATCATGCCGCCGACGCTGAAGAGACCTATGGGAACACTGCCGAGACCCATGGTGGCATTTATGAGGATGACGAGTCCTACTACGGAGGATGAGTTGCAGTGGGCCTACGAGGACGATCCCCGTGAGATTGACATTGAGGAGGAAGTGATCGCCTGGTACTCCAGCAAGAACATCGATGCCCAGACGTGCCCTCCAGGAGGTTGAGATGTCAGCCTACAACAGGATGCAAGCTGAGCAACGTGGTGTGACGACCCCAGCAGCTTTCTCGATGGCGGCTCTACTTTGTCAAGTCAGGAGAGACAGTCAAAGGTCCTAGCCGCCGAACAACGATCTCGATGCCAAGCTTGTGGACAAGTTGGACATTGGCAGCGACGAGGCAAAGGATTTGGGAAGAAGGGCACATGGGAAGGATCAGGCAGAAAAGGTGATGGAAAGAATTCAAAAGGGAATAGCCCCAAAGGAAGCCCCAAAGGAAGCCCCAAAGGAAGCCCCAAAGGAAGCCCCAAAGGAAGCCCCAAAGGAAGCCCCAAAGGAAGCCCCAAAAAAGGAGCCAACCTACGGACAGTGTACTTCAGTGTCCGAGATGAGACTGACGATGACAAGGTTGGCTACATGGTGATCAAGACTCTACGCAACAACGGATGCTGAAAGAAGAGGTGATGAGGCTGATGCAGCTGAGCCCTGGAGAGATTGACCGACGTCTCCAGGAGGAGCTCAACTGCATGCCGCCTACGGCCAAGGCACCTCCAGTGGACTTTGTGCCTGCCGTGCCCAAGCGATTTCTGCCGCCGACAGCAAAATTTGTTCCAAAGCACCTGGGCTATGCTATGCTGAAGACCAACACCCATGTGACCATGCCCAGGGACACCAGCGACCCCAGAAGTACCACCTGTGCCAACTAAGAGGTGATGTTCTGATGAGCCGCAGATGGACCTCATGCTGACAGTGGATGTCCGCACAACAGGATTTCACGTCGAGGCACCAATGCCTACGTGGACATGGAGATTTGCCTGGACTCTGGAGAAATTCTCAAGAAGGAGCACAAGGATCGAGGTGCAACCGGCAGACTTGTGGCAACGACTGCATCTGGACTTTGCCAACATCCAGAGAACTACGTGCCTTGGAGAGGCACCAATGGCTATGCCTGGAAGTGGACGTGTGGTGAATGTGGGATGAGCCAGACCACCAAGAAGGTTGCCGGACAGCCGAGGCCGATTCCTCGCAATCCTGTGGATGACAACTTCAACAACGACGAGGTCGTAGGACTTGGCATTCCTTCGATGCTGAATGAGATTTTTCTCCCATCAGCTGAGGATTGGGATCGACTTTCTTCACTTCTACATCGAATGGATGGCAGCCGCTTGGCACTTCATGGAACTGTGAGTCATGGAGAATTCCTCCACGTCACCAATGCGACCATCTTGTGCTACAAGATCCTGGGAGCAACATTCACCAATGCCGTGGCGATGGAACCCAGAGAGAACATCATGCTGCGCTCACCTGGAGCCCGATCTCAAGCCAGTGTGACCACCGTGAGATCCGAGTCCGGTGGAATCTCAGGTGACAACAAGGTGATATTTGGCCGCTACAAGGGCAACACCTTTGAAGAGGTCTACAACATGGGTCAGGGCTATGTGCAGTTCGCCTTGGACGAAGAAGCCAAAGGTTCAGCATTCTGCACCAACATGACCAGATTCCAGACCTACTGCAAGAATCAACGTGATCGAGAGGGATCAGCCGTCGCCTACATGATCACCGAGAAGCTCTGGGATGGCGGAGATTTTCCAGAAGGAGCTGGTGCAGATGATGGCAGCTTGATGTACTTGGATTCAGGATGCAACTCAACGTGCCATGGAGAAAGGTGGATGAAACGCTATGAGGAGAAGACTGGCTACTCACCTGACTGGGAAAGCCGAAAGTCTGAGGACTTGACCGGAATTGGTGGAGCGGCACGCTCACTTGGAACTCGAAAGCTCTACATTGCCCTGGAGAGCCTGGCAGGTTTCAAGGTTCCTGGAGAGATCGTCAGCACCGAGATCGCCGACTCACCCGCACCATTATCTTGGCATGGTGATCGATCTTGTTGCTGGGACTGTCACTTCAAAGACGCTGGACTGTACCTTCAATGTGGTGCGTTGCAGACGCAACCGACTACTTGGTCTTCGACTTCACCCTGGTGACTCCATGGAAGATGGTGACACAGTGCCTGTTAGCCTGATGGTGGATTCTGGAGGAGATGACAGGAAACCACCTTCATCACCGGTGAGGATCAAGGTCACCACGGAGGCCAAGAAGGTCCCAAAGCGCAAGAAGAAGGGCAGTGGCAAGGGAACTACAACAACGACAACTTCGAGAGCATTTTCCGGCCGAGCTTCTTCAAGTCATGCTGCACCACCCGACGACCCTGGATTTTGGAGCGTCGAAGAGGCCAACAACCCCAACGACAACGACGAGTTTGTCTACGTGGAGATTGATGAGTTTGATGGAGAGACTCAGAGATTGGCCGATGAGATTGAAGATGAAACCCTGGAGAACCCCGTCATCAACTCCGAATGGGGAGCTCGCATTCTCTACACCGAGTCGTGAGCGAGTGGATGATGATGACGATGATGATGAGGACTTTTGGGAGTTCACTGACATCACTCTCATTCGTCATGTGAACCACGCCGTGACTACTTCAACCCAAACGATGCTCTCTTTGAACTGCCAGTTGGCATCAGTCAAGAACACCAACAAGCTGCTGTCCTCTGCCCAAGGACAATGGGGTAAAGTTTACGAAAGGAAAGTTTCGTTTTGAATCCTCCATTCTTTTGTCAATCACGGATGCAAGCCATGCGGGGGAAGTTGAGATCAGCGAGAATGGACAGAAGCTCCCAGGGTGGCCGCATTTTGCTCCTGGCTGATCGTGTGCCTGGCGAGTCTGATGTTGCCCATGTGCACATTCTGGAATGGCATTCCCAGACCCTGAAGCGTGTATGCCGATCCACGCTGCAAGCCGAAGTTCATTCATCGACGCTTGGGTCAGAAGCTTACTTCAACATTTCCGAGAAGCTGGAGACCGTGGAAAGAAGTGGAAAGTCGAAGCTGCAGACTCCAAGGCCATTGTCTGGATGTCCGAGCAAGAGCTTCATCGACTACATGTCGGCTACGACCCCTGGAAGCGTTTCGGACAAACGCCTGGATCGACATGTCATCCCTTAAGATGAAAGGAGAAGAGGTTGGAGACACTTCCGGAAGCCCAGCCATGCCCGAAGATGCAGCTGACCGCCCGATTTGGATTTGTACAGAGGACATGGTAGCATGCGCTGGGACGTGATTTTGGATTCCTGCGGCTCTCGGTAAAGCCGATCAGAGCCGGATTCCCGTCCATAAAGTAAAGACGGGTGTCAAACTGCGTCATTTTCACCCATGGACATGGAATCCAGCAGGTCACTTCACATCCCAACATGGATCTATGGCCCAAATGTGACTAGGGCCCTTGAGCTTGTGGCGCCAAAACCTGTGCCATGCTTTGTGGCTGCAGCATCGCTTTGCGTTGCTGTTTCTTCAAGCCAAATATTATTGGGATCACAAAACATATTCCTGGAAGGGAAGGAGGGAAGGAAGGAATGAAGGAGGGAAACCTTTATGTTGTGATGTTGCAATGGGTTGTTGATGGCTGTTGGCGGCGTGGGGGTTCGAGTTCCGAGTGTTGCAGATACAATGCGCAAGAAAACTAGACGACGGTTGGCCCGAGAGCGAAAAAGATGTTTTTCAAGCAGCTCTGAGGATGGTAGTCGTAAAAGATAGTCGGTGAATAGTTGGTGAATTTTATATGAGCTATGGAAAGATATGGTGTGAAAAAGTAAGATTGATCAAGAAGAGAATATTTGGTAAAGGGCATCAGATGACATGTGTCTTGCAACCACAGAGAGAAAGAGGGGGCAGAGATAAAGAGAGAGAGAGAGAGAAAGAGAGAGAGAGAGAGAGAAAGAGAAAGCAAGAGAGAGAGAGAGAATGAAAGGGGTGGGGTAGAAAGAAAACATGGAGAAATGTAATGTGAGCAACAAAAGTGCACAGGAGGCTCAGTGCCATGAGTCTGCGAATGACATGTGCTATCTCATTTTATTATGGTAATTCCCACACACACATTGCGGAAAAAGGCGCGGCACCATCATTCCGTGAACGCGAAGAAACGCGACGCTTTTATACAGAGACACTTTTACACACAGAATCTTTTACACATAAACACTTTTACACACAGACGCTTTCACACAGAGACGTTTTTCATGCACACACACACACAGACGCATTTCCACACAGAGACTTTTACACACAAACACTTTAACACACAGACGCTTTTACACACGGACGCTTTTACACGCAAACACTTTTACATACAGGCGCTTTTACACACAGACGCTTTTACACACAGACGCTTTTACACACAGACGCTTTTCCACACAGACTTTTACACACAGACGCTCACAAAGCGCGGCACCACTGGGTGACCTCAGTTGCAAACAAAGGTGCGCCAACATAGTTGCAATGGAAATGCCAAAAAATCGCAAAAGTGCACAAGACCAGGCTCAGTACCATGATCAACGCACAATCCAATGCAAGGCATCCGCTCTTTGAGATACAAAATAAGCTCGGCACCATGATGCCGTGGATGACCTCAGTTGCAAACACAGGTGGGCAAACAAAGGCTCCGTACCATGGCATCCAAGAGAATCTAGAAGTCCGTGCAAGAATGCTGTGAATGATTCCACAATAGCAAGTTCGATATCATGATGGCAAGGATGACACCTGTTTCACTGTATTTCTCCGATGTCCCTACAGGATGGAAAAAAATCTTTACAGACAAACAACAGTTGGCTACTGGTTTTGCATGTTCGTCACGAAC